CTCACTGAACACCTATAAACTCGGTCATGTGCATCACGTCCCACAGCTGTACTTTCTTTATCACTTCTAAGTGAATTGCCTTATTTTTAGTTACATCTTGCCCCTGTAAAAACCTTCTGCCAAAATATCGTACTCAGTCTCAGCAGGAGGGGAAATAAGGTTCACACAATAGAGATAGTTTGTTGCCTAGCAATTGAGTGGGACTTAAGCCACCTCCAGCGGTTTCTCAGAACTAGGGAAAGAGTAGAACTTACCTTACAAGCACTACAACTTTGCACATAAGGTGGATGGAAAGCCAACAGGCTGGGGATTTCCTTAATTCTTAGATAACACATCTCTCTATCTCCCTGAGAAGTGACTCTGACAGTGGAGTGACCCTGACAGATTCTGTGTGTATTTAGATCAGTGCTTCTCTAGACCCTCAGTTTGCAGGAGTGGGGGAACTGTCTTCTTGAAACACCCCCATAGTTAGTGCTGTGAATACAAGTGATTACAACCAGAAGCCTTACCCTGGGTTGGCATTACACTAATCACATCTTTAGAATTGTGTTTAAAAAGGTTTACTCAGCTGATTTTTACTTGATCTTACAACTAGTTATTTATTTTTCTTTGTGCTGCTTATGTTGTGAATTTTGTTCTCTTAACAGAATTTCATAGGCAAAAGACTTAAAAAATGCGAGCAGATAATGTAGATCATACCTAAAGAACTGGCTACAAGCTGGAATTTGGCCTTCTCCATCCTTCTGATCTGCACATGTAGCTTAAAGCTGAGTATAAAAAGGAATAATCAAACAGTATTTTTTCACTGTTGTAGCCTTAAACGTGTTAAATATATTGAAAAGCAAGTAAATTAACTTTTCAATAATTGGCTTTTTCCTTCCTTCTTGGAATAGTGGGCAACGTTTCTTCAGTGTTCTGAAAGGAAAGACCTTTGCAGTTATATTTTTAATTTCGTGGTTATATGTTTAGTTTCCTGCTGAGATAATATTACTTATAATCTTGGAAAAAGAGAGAAAACAAAACAAAATCTTTAATTTGATTTAGAGTGTCAGAAATGTATGGTCTGTATTGAAAAGGCCTGATGTGCACCTGATGTCGTAGTTAGTATGACTTACAATACCTCTAATAAGCCTTTAGGTGATTCTTGTTTGTTTGGTTATATCAGAAATAAAAAATATTCATTCTCAATCTATCATTAGTAATTGTCATGTATAAGAGGAGCCGATCTGTGGCTCCGATGAGCTTAGTCCGAGACTGAGAAGATGATGCAAAATATGGTAAATTAGAGAAACTGTTCTACTTGCTTTTGTCATCTTTGTATTAATCAGAACACTAACTACGGCCATACATCTTAAAGAACAAACTGCATTGTTTTTTTCTTTCTTGTATAGCGGGCCTCTTGCCCTAATAGATCTCTGAATCTACTATTCCAGAGTTAAAAAAGTCTCTGTCACCAACAAGGTGTTTCCACTCATTCTAATTTAGCCAAAATTTGAAGACAAACTCTCCTGAACTGTGTGCTGCCAAGTTGTTTTTGCAGCAGTGTTAATGGTAAAGGCTAGAGCTAAGCCCTGGCTTCGATAAGTGAAGGACATATGTGATGCCATGTGCAGAGTGTCTGCAATTGTGCTTGGTTTTGCCTCCTGGGATGGGCCAGACGTGTCACTAAGGGGGAAAGAAGACAACAGATGTTTGTGAAGATCAGGCAGAATGGTGTGGTTTGGAAATTCTACATCAGACATTGGTTACTTTGCAGTGCTCATATTTGTATGTGTTTCCTTCCAGTAGTGTTGCAGCAGGTAGCAGGAATTATTTGGACTCAGCATATGACAAAAAACCTTTTGGCTTATGAGTCTACCCGGGATTATGTGTGATTGTAAGATAATAATTTTTTGAGGTAAAATTTTATATCATATCCTAAATGGAAAAACTTTAAAAGGGTGGATTGCTTGTATAGTTTGCATGATACTGTCAAATTACCAGACAATGCTATGTATTTGGTATAGAGATCAGTGATTTCAGAATTTATAAAACACTTTCGCAAAGCAGAAACGGGGAAAGTACTGGTGTCAGGCCCCTCAGTTAACTTGCGAAAGTTGTTTCATATGTTAAGTTTTTCTTTTGTACACAGGTGTTCGTAGTTGCCTGCATGATGAATGAAACCTTGGACAGAAACTGGTATTTTTTGAAACAAGGTTGATGCTGTTTTCTGCAGGTAACAGTGGTGACACCAGGAACTGTTGTGGCTAACGGTTTCCTCAATATTGTTAGAACACAGTTTTGTTGGAGCACAATTTTTTAGTATGTTTAAGCATATAATTATAGAAGGTAAAGATCTTAGATTATTCACTGGGTACTGGTGGAGGAAAGTTTACCTGTTTGGTGGAGAAGCTTTAACACCATAAGATACTAGAGAATTATAATTTTTTGACATGGAACTCAAAAGTATGTCTGTGTGACTGTGTATGATGGTGGCCACCGTGTGAAAATGAATGAATGACAATGTATGCATGTATGTGTGTGAATATTCAATTACACATACACAAACGCTTTTGGATAAACAAATACACAGACACCTTTACATAAAGTGGCAAAAAATCCTGAAGCTATAATAGAATGGTATGCAAAGGGTGCAACAGAAACAGAACATCCAGTGGTATTATATGATTATGTCACTGTGTTATTTAAGGGCCAAGGTGTGAAAAAGAATAACAGAAGACGTGGCCCAAGGGATGTTCTGGACGGAGTGGAAGTTTTTGAGGATAAACCCTACATTTAAAGAAACCCTTTTAAGCACACTTTGAGAGCACATATCTTAGTGTCAATAGGTTATTGAGTTTATTAATCATAATAGCATTATTGCTGTTTGTGTTTATTGAAATGTTATGGATACAATAAGGAATGTTACCAAAATGCAATTTAAATTGTTCAAATTTGAACGGGGGATTTGTCGGGATACAGAAATTGTGTGAACAATTTGTATTGCATTTCTGCGACCTTTGCCTTGGCACAGCTGGGTGCAGATAGTAAAAAAATACTACGCCACTAATATGGCTGCAGGCCTTGTGCCAAGGTGAAGGAGGAGTCCTCTTGGCAGGTAAACAAGTTTTATGGACACCTGCCGTGGGCCAATTAGTACTGCACAACGCAGTATGTTTTCCTTGTGTATCCAATGTAGCCTGGGAAGGAATCACATGTCTGTGTGTGATAAGCAGTATATAAGCTGTCTTTCTTCTAATAAAGCTGACATATTGCCGACCAAATTGGTCTGAGAGCACTTTGTCCATGCCCCTCCGCCGATAGAATGCTACCTCATTATGTCCATGTTTTAGCAATGAGTTCTTCACTGTAAAAACTCAATCTGGTGGTCAAATACACCTGAACTTTTGCACTATAGTAGTTATGATATGAGGTTATAGTTTAAATAATTTTATCAACACAAACTTTAATCATCTATTCACAAGTCTGGAGTGCATTGTTAGAACTTCCACCCTTCTAGAGGAGAAGCTTAAATGAGATGACTAAGTGAAAATCTCTCCCTATACAAACATTCATGACAAACTTCTTTCTGACTGGAAAATTTCTGAAGCAAAGCCGTTTTGTCAGCAACTGACAATTTCTTGAAATGAAAGCACTTTGCAAAAAGCACCAGTTTTAATTACACTTCATGCATTTTGTCCAGCCAGCTATGGCACATGCAGTTACAGTCTAATGAAAATTGTCATTCTTCCCTATCAACTCATTTGTCTGGGACTTCAAGATCCTCATCTGCAAGTCAGCCTAGGTATAGGACAGCCCCAACAAACTGCCATTTCTCCAGGTTTCTCAAGCTCAAGGGAATTCTTGCTATTCTTCCAGACTTCCAGGTATGATGCAGCCTGATGAATTACTCTTCCTCAAATCAATATCATCCTTGTTCCTGAGACTACTAGCCTCCAGTTGGACAGATCCAGCACAGGTCTGAAAGAACACTTCACAATTTGCAGGATTTGGCTAACCGTAATTGTCATATGTTGTTTCATTTAAGAGAGTACAGCCTATAAAACCAAATTGTCTGACATGACTGCTACTTGACTTTCACTCCTGTCAACATATTCATGAAACCTGTCTTCATGCAAAAAAGCTTATAGGACTTTTGTTTGCTTTTATTTTCTTAACTAAGTTAATCTCCTTGATATTTTTCTAAGTTAACTGATATTAACAATATCAAAGGCATCTTCCCTCCATACAAAGAGGTTATCTTGCCTTCTCTTTGTACAAAACTATGTCCTAAACTATTATGACAAATTCATATGAATAATTATGAAAAAATTATACAATAGAGAGTTGTGAAAAGAGAAGAGAAATAAAAATATTATACATTTGTTTTCATAATGCAGCCTTCAACCTTGTGCACACTTTATTCGTCTCTCAAACACTGGCATTTCTGTCCCCATTGTGGTCTAATTTATGGTTTGCAAAATGACCTCTGCAAACAAAATTTACAGCGAAGGGAAAGGAATCCTGCCCCTCCTGTATGAAATCAGAGGCAGATCCCTAGCTGTGTATAATTAGCTTGATTCTACATTAAGTTTTCTTTAGATTCAAGGATAAAAGGAAGCTGTTGGTCTTTGTGGAAAATACAACAGGGTTCCTTTAACTTACAGATCTCAAGTGTCTATGGGCTTAAAGGCAAGAGGGACTGAAGTGTAATGCTATGGAAAAGGTCCTGAAACAGATGCGATGCAGCTGGCAGCAAATGAAGAGTGAAAGCTGGCAGACATATCCTAAGTACCACAGGTTAGATAACTCTTCCTGCAACAAAACCGTCTGTAGAAAAAGAACTACTACAAAAGAAAGAATTTGCCAACTGAAGAACCCTGTGTGCTTTAAATTAATCATCAATTTCTGTCTCGAAAATTAATCTAAAGCCCAAACAATAAGCTATTTTGCTTCAAAATGAGCAAATACAGTCACAAGCACTTCCACCTCAAGGATCCTGGCTGTTTGCTTTGACTTACTCGCTTGTGAAGGCGTTCTGCTTCCTCCTGATATGCAGCAAGCTGTTGCTTCCATTGTTTTACATTGGCAGTGGACTCCAGCAGGGCTGCAGTGAGCTTAGCATTATTACCCTTGAGCGTGGCCAGTTCTGCCTCCCAATGTTTGCTGATTGTCGAACTGCAGACAGAAAGAGAATGGTAAGAACCCTCTTTCTCTTTTTTTTCTTAAAATGTCTTTTTTTTTTTAATATACAGGAAAAATAGAATTATGAAAAAATCCTATGTCCAAATGAGAATCCAAGTGCTCAAATCATCAAAACTTTAAATTTAGAAAATATTAATGGACAGATTTTTTAATATAGATATATCATTTTTGGAAAACAACCTCTACCCTCCCAGTTCAACAGGGTACTTTTTAAAAATAAAATGTTAAGGATGATGAAATCCATATCAACTTTCCAAAAGCAACAACATGTAATTCTAGAATATGTATGTTATTTTTTACCAGTTTAGTCTACTACTTTATGAAATATATTGTAAATAAAGATTTGTCACCAGCTCAGTTAAAGAAAGCTAATGTAGTGCTTTGGAACTACAACTTAGTTGTCTTAATGCAAATCTATGCTGGAAATATACTTTATTTATTCAATACCATATTTAATTTCTACTTACAAATTCAAAAGTCTTGAATTTCAACACCATAATCTTGTTAATGTGCCTTTCTTCAGTAATATCAAGAAAGAGACCAAAGATTGAGGAGCATAGAGATAGTACTGCTTTAATGCAAAGAGGAAGCTGATGTTGGGGTCTCTTGAAGTATCCTATGGAGGAACAGTCCTTGCCTACAGTTTAGTTATTCTCTGAGGAAACACAGGGCTTTATTTTTCACAGATAATTGGTCAGCCATCATCCAAAGACCCTATCCTTGCACTCAGTATGCAAGGGAAAAACATCTTATACACATCAGGTGAATGTATTAGTATGCAATTAGTTCATTAATATTTACTTGTATAACATTGACAGCATGTGAGGTGCACACCTACGTGGAAAATACATATAGAAAATAATTAATTTTGTTTAATTAGCTTACCATTAAAGACATCATAGAAAATTAGTGATCTGTAACTCTGGCCAAAATAATTTTGTATTTAGGTTTAGTATAGCAGTAATTACCATAATATAATAATATATTTTAAAAAGATGTTTTATTATGCTTAATTATAAATCTTTACTATTATTTTGCAGGTAAGTTTATAGATTTATCTGTACAATTGAACATTCTGTCACCATTTTGTCCACTGAGTTCCTTTTGTCCACTTCATGCATATGCACAGCCCATTCCATAAAAGCATATTTCAAAAACATTATGATTCCCATAAAAGCTCCTTAGGTGTTCAAAGCCAACCAGTCACAGAGGAACATTCATTATCAATTCAGATCACATCTACTGTTTCACTAAAACACGATGTATGATTCTTTCACACTCCAGTATTTCCTTCCATATGCACCATTTCATCTCCTTGAACAGGAATATAAGTTCACAAGAGGAATATGGGTTCTTTCAAATTGCTCTAACATTTCATGATCTATTCAACCAATTAGAAATTCACCACTGGAAATTTTGAATCTTAAATGACTAAACAAAAATAATGATAATTCCATTTCATCAAGGAACACTGACTCACATATGAAAAATATGAGAATTAATTTTTGTAACAATGTCTACTCTTTTGTTTCTCTGACCATATTTACTTTTCAGCAGATCAAAAATTCCATAAAAGAATATGCTAAAAAAATCTAGTTCATTATCATATTCACAATTCTTCATTGATGTTCTGATCCAGCAAACAAATATCCACACCAGCAATTTCATGCAAGCAAGTAATGCCATTTAGTAGTTCTGCTATGGTAGCTAACTGTGTGTGCATGACATGTATACATGTTTACAAAATGTGCCTTACTGCTAACTTTTCCCCAAAGAAAAATTATTTTATATTGATGCGATGAAGCAGATAAAAAGCTTTATATCCAGGACAGTTACAGAATGAGAACTCTTTGGTCACTTAATATCCTAATTTAAGATGCAAAAAGGGTAGTGAATGGATTTTTTTTCAGTTTAATAATTTATATACTCGCAATGATACAAGGTAAACTTAAAAGCCATGAAGATCCCAGAAGTCAGACTGCTAGCTAGTGCTGAGTAATAATGTGAGGGGGATTTGTGCAGTTTTTCATCTTCACCTTTGCCCAGTGCCTTACTACCCTGCTAAGAAAACAGTCAGGAGCTCTGAAGTTATTGCTTGTATACTGGAATGTCATCATTACATACAAAACATGAATTTTCTATTACTACTATGGCTACCCTGGTTCAAAGGTTAGAAGGTTTCTTTGAATCTGGTTATTTTTGAATTGGTTGTTTTCAATAGGACTGCACCAGTATTATTTCTCAATCATATTTTTTATCCCTAAGAGATTTACATAGTAGGCATGAACATGTCTGCTGTAATGCAGATGTTATTTGTTTGTAGTATCTATGTGTTTTCTTCTACAAATAATTTCTACTGTATCTTCTACAGATTTTACTATGGTTCCATAAAATAGAAATATATTACTTAAATTAGTTTAGTTTTGTATCTGATAATACACAATGACCGTCAAACTATTTAGACTTATCCTGTTTCCTCTTATAAAACTGCACATTCTCTGACATAAGCGCAGCAATGTGATGGTGTGGTAGTTTGGCCTAGGCCTTCCTTGGTGACCAGCTTGTAACCAAGGAAGTGCCCAGATTTACCCAGTATTCCCTACGATTTTTATGTAAGCTGGGGTATAAGAAGAAAGGAGGAGACGCCTTCGGTCTCTTTCCTTCCGGCGGCTTTGGAGGTGCAGATCTCCCTGCTGTTGAGTCTGTCGGCTTGGAGAGTGAGGCCTGGTAAGGCCTTGTCGACCTTGGGAGGCGGAGGCTGCCGGCAGTCACCCCAGTGTGACTCTCCATTGTCCCAAGGAGAGTAGTAAGATATTCTTTGCTAATTCTTTTAGTTGATACACCTTGGGCTACTGATTGGGATAATATATATATATATATATAATTTTGGGTTTTTTTGTTCTTCCCTTCCCCTTTCCCTTTCCCCTGTGAAATTGTATATATATTTCAACTGTACATAACTGTAAATATAAGTGTAAATATATTTATATATATTGCTTTGTCTCTCTCTCGTTTTCGGTTCTTTTGTTTTTTTTTTCCTTCTTCTCCCTTGCTTTGGGGTGGGGGGGGACGGAGGGGACTTCTTGTGGTAAGGTTTGGAGACTTGGCAGGGAGCCAGCTCCAAACCATATTACACCATGAAACACAGAGCAATGGAGCACATAGCCATCAGGTCCTCTTCCATTCCAGGAAGAGGCAAGGATATCATCTCTTGTCCTATGCATTGATCATCAAATCAGTGGGGCTGGGTCAAAATCTTTGCAGACTTGATGGATGAAGCTGACCAAAGAGGTTGAGTAATGGTACAGACTCTTTCCACTATATGGCAGACCACTGTGCATTGCAAATCAGTGAATATATTCTATTTGTATCCATCACCTAAATCCATATTATGTATTTCATAATAAAGCCTTAATTCATCACAGGGACTGTAGAAACTACCACAACACAACCAGAGACCACCTTTCAATATAGAAACTTATCACCAAGGAATAAACTGGAAATTAAATTCCTTTTAAGGAAGGAAAATTCCACAGAAATATTCTCTATGGTAATCTAGCACGGTACTCCTGCAGAAGATAACAAAACCAGAGGAAAAAATGCCTAAGTATGGTTGTGTTCACTGCTTACTGAAACACTAAGTCAATAGCAATAGAAGAGCTCTTGAAAGGCACATCATGGGATTCAAAAAATTGGGTATTAACACATAATTAATGCTTCAGCTACTGATCCTTATCAATCCTTAGATCCCAGGCATGAACCAATTTAAAGTGGGGGGCAAAGAGAAGAGTCACTCTTCTCCACAAGAAACAATGAAGTTTCCAAGCTTCTTGTATTGTCTGTTAGTATATGCTGGATGTGTTTACATCGATGACATTTAAGCTGTTTCTCATTACATTTACACAGTTAAAACAGTTTTATACATGACTTTTGTACAATGTATCACAATGCAAAAGACTTGCATTTAACCTGAATTATCACAGTAGCATTAAAAAAATTTCTTTGAAGAGGATCAACTTTTATTTTAATTTTATTATTTTAAAAAGATTTCATTTTTGCCTTCATCGTTTAATTTTATATAGTAATGAGACACTAGGTTATCTCTTCATGAAGTCCATATAGCATAAACCAAAATTGATAACTCTGTCTAATAACTTTTAGCCCTTTGCAAGTGCAAGCATAGCTAATTAATTTCTAGGTTTTTTGCACTAAACATTAAAACCTTGTAGACCTAAAATTTCATCACATATGCTGAAAAATTTAAAAAATGCCCTTGCTCCCACATTGAAATTGCTTATCAGTATCACTGGAAGTAGTTTATTCTCATACCTGTAATGTATCTGATATTTTTGACAACTGTTTCAACAAGTGTTTTAGTGCAGTAAATTACTATTGAACACTAGGCATAATTCCTTGCTGTTGCTACGGTTCTGAATACTTTGAAAATTCCAACAAAACTACATTTTCAAGAGCAACCTAAGTTATTTAGGAACTTACATCTCATTTGCTAAAATGGCTAGGTATTTGGCTGTGAAGAAAGTCAAATTGACTTGGGCTTCTACGGCACTTAATCACTTTATGAAAGCAAATAGATGATGTGGTTATTGACAAGTCAGATACCAGGACACAGTGACTCTGACACTAAAATGGTCTGAATTACAGTCACTTTCATTATGGAACTAATTTGTACACTGTTAAGGGAACTTCCCAGTCTGACCATTCGTGAGACTCTCCGTCAGTAGCACTCCCCAACGCCAAAGACTTTCACTGCTGGGACCAAATCGCCTTCACAGCGAGTGGCTTCAGTGAGCTGATGGGTGCCCTGTTTGACTCTCTACACACCCCACTCACACGCAGTCAGACAAGGTTCAACCCCAGGTTTCCCATAGCAGAGTCTCAGATGTTTCGTTACATAAAGCGTCTAAATCTGCATCTCGAACTCCAGCTTGAAAACCAAGGTACCTGGACCAGAT